GGGTGGAATTGCAATTAGGAGAAAGTGAGAGCTGAATATTAATGAAAGCCTGAGTCGTTAATCGATCGTGTTTGATGAAGCCTTAATAAGTCGACGCAATCAAAATAGCGTTAACGTTCAACAAAAACGTGTGCGAATTGGTCGAGCGTTATACAAACGTACCAAGATCGTGTTTTCTTGAGAATGAAAGGTATGGCATTGGATCCAGACAAGGGCATCTTGTAACAACAATATTTACTATTATAGTAATCAAACCGCCACTGGTGAGTCAAAATATGTCTTTTCCTTTCTAGAATCTCTTCCTCTGGTCACCCCTGGAAGTCCAAGTGATGACCATCAATTATCAGTTGTAAAATCGGTCAATCGACCATCTGGCATTAGCTTGACCAGTGGTCAATCAGGTCGACCACCTCGAGGCTTTTAATCTTTATGCGGGCAGATATTTATAAACTCCAGCTGACTCAGCTAAAACAGCGCTACAGGTTCCCAGTGCACAAACGTTAAAGTGGTCGTTTCCAGTACCTAAACATGCAAGGCCCTGATTACGACAAAGTACTAGATCATTTTATCCCCTAAACCCCTTTACTTTAACCCGTAGAGAGGTTTGCTATCTGCTTTTAAAACATGTTTATGAAACCATAAAAATATAGCAAAGTATGTCTTTGGCATAATGAGCTACCAATTCAATATCTCTTTTCATTCTAACCCAAAAGTATCTCATATCTGCCTCGAATCCATCCATACGACTTTATCTGTTTATTGACGAAGAGTGCGCATGCTCTGAACGGATATCAGATGTTCGCGCGCATGTCACAACATGGCATCTCACTTGATGGGGTCAAGCGCCATATATGACTTTACGGGTGATCGCTTAAACCTAGGGTCAAGGTTAGACAGATAAGTCACATCACACTTATCGAAATAAATCGCTTTCGAGCGTGATTAAGACCGCATACCTGGTCATTTTGCGAGTCATTGTAAAACGATTTGGTCGCCTCTCAGTTATCACAGCTAACTACAGACGTTTCAAGTTAACTATTTTTCCTGGTTGTTGGGTCTGTATACTGTGTATCAATATCGCTCCGTGTCATAATTCATGCAATTAACAAATGTACTATACAATATAACAGAGAAATATTACTAATAGCTGTCCCGCCTGGCCGTGGTAATACACACACACACTCAAATACTAAGATTATTTCATTGTTTCCCATCGTACAGACTCCTCTGACTCTGTAATGATATAAGGTCAAACATTCCTGATTTTGAAATATTAAATACAAAACGTGTAATTTTAATGAGATTTAAGATGGCCACTACCACCGATGCACACTACTACAATGCTTATAAATACAAAAATAAATAAACAGATGCTATAGAAAATTTAATTTAGATAAACCTATACACGTAGCAGTTATGTTGCGATTAAGGCCCAGAGATACATCAGAATGGTTTACAGTTGATGGATATTTGAAAAGGAGTTTCTTTTGATGTTAAATTCATGGACATCTAACTGCTTATTAAAAACACGTATCTTTAACTATAGTATGATGTTAGAGTTATTTACGACAGGCTATTGTGATTCTGCTAAATGGTCTATAACTTCCACAGACGTTAAGTCGCAAATCCTTTTAAACAGAGGAAACACCAGCGTCTGTATCCTGTGACGGCGATACTAATTCAATAGTTTACATTTTATAAATACCATCTCACTCCGAATTTCCGGAATGACGTCCGTAACCAAATTTACTTTTATCAAGCTACGTTATTTAATGACACGTGTCACGGTGATTAAATATAAAACGCCATCTTCATAAAATTCGTTTTAGCCACCATTTTATTACACGTTGCCTGCCTCTGAGATACTAATCAGCCACCTCCTCTCTCATCTTTAGGACATTTGATCCGGGTTTAATTTCCCGTTTTTGGATTAATGTATGATAAATTACGTTCCCTCTCCTCCTCCGATTTTCATAATAGCCTGCGCGGGTAACTTGTATTTAGACACTGGAATTCTTTAAATTTCTGATGCAATGCGTTTCGAATTTTCTTTTAATTCTGCAATGATCGTTGCAAAATTTATTTTCGTTTCGTTTTTCTAACGTATTTATCAAATTTGATTTATATTCTTTTTAGATTAATCAAATTTGGCGCAGTAGAACTTCTATTCAAAAGAGAGAGCGGAAGACATGTGCCAATCAAAGCAAAATATTTGAAAATTATCAAAGACGTACCAATTCGAGTCAAAATACGGATCTAAAAGGAACTTTTTATGAAGTTTCCAAATGTAAATGACAGATAAATACTGCATACTTATGTAAACATTGTATACTTGGATACAATTCATACTGGCACTTGGTAATCAAACGATGATTGACGGATAAAAGCGCCATGAAGTCTAAATGTAATTAGAAAACATAACTAGTTGAAAATCACTTGATAGATCCAGCTGTATACACTTAAAATACATGTGCAATTCAAAAAGTTGTGGAGTTATACACGAATTATCGGCCATGTATGTCTTGACGTCTCAGTTCAGTTCTTTATTTGCTGCAGTTCTGCAACTTATGGTTATTACATTTGTATCTAGACGTTCTTCGGTTTTAACAGGTTCCGCTGTTGTTCAGCGCACGTGAAATAAATTAAGAAAAACAATTGCCACAACCATCAGCATACTCTTCATCTGGATCATGTACGCGCAAAAGAGCATGCGCATGCGCATGCGGAGAATTATTATGAAGAGTCTAATTAACCCCTTCCCTTGTGATTTGTATACAGCTGTTCCCAACTCAATTACAAAACCATCTGACATTGAGATATATATGAACACACACCTCAAACAGAGAACACTGAGGCTAATACCTCTATAAGTGTGAAATACACGTAACTACAGGTTATCCGTAGTGTAGCGGAACTTGACTGGGTCGGTCGTCGGCGATCAGGTAGCTCAATTGGTAGAGCGTCCGTCTAGAGTTCGGAGGTTCCCGGTTCGAGCCCCGGTCTGGTCGTGCATTTCTCTTTCTCTTGTTACAATAGTAATACAACCCTGAGGACATTGAAACCAGTTTGTTGTGACGTTGTCACGTGTTCTTGGCGTGTAAACTGTGAGCTGTCTTTGTTTTGTTAGAGAATATTAGCCTATGCTTGAGCTAAGAAAAATAATTGTTAGTTGTTTTTGAAACAACATGATTGTCATAATTCTACTTATTTAAGTAGGTAAGCAAGTTCTAGATAAAATTTGAAATCGTGTATGGTTTAAATAATTTTGTTGTGTGTAGGTTCAATAGTATCAGGAAAACATTCAAGTTTCAAAAAATAAAGGCATCATTTGATACATAAAGCGTCATATTCCTTTTGAAACACAGACAAAGCAGGTTTTTTTTTACACAACTGATAATACCCCAAACCGACCTGCACTTGAATGACTTTGACTCGAATAGGAACTATTATGTGTACGCTGCACTAAGTACGCTATGTAGCCTTGCGTTCAAAGGGATTAAGACTGTAGTTAAGAGAATTGCATTTCATTGCTCCACTTAAAAGAACATCAATTTGACGTAACACAGATCACGTGCGCAACATGCAAAGATAATTATACACGAAAATGGCAAAATTCCAAGTGAAAACATTCATAAAGCCAAATTTATAAAGTGCGAGTGAGTATATTTTTAACTTTAAAGTTAAACAGTTTTCCGGCTAGAAGGGGTTGTTATCTGAAGCCACACTTTTCTATGAACTTGTATATTATGAATTTTCTGGAGGTTAATTACCGAAACAGCAAAAATGATTTAAGACCTGGAATAAGATTTCCATTTGCAAAAGAAGAAAACAATTTTAAATCATCTCTGGATTAGAAAGATGTGAACTGAAATCTTTCGAAACCATTTTGTACCGCTATCCCCATGACGTCAATAGATTTAAAAATACAAGCATTATTATCTCCCAGTAATTGACTGTTAATTACAATGTCATTTTCATGTTTAGACATCTCAATTTAGATCGACCAATAGTATGCAACAGACCCCTGTGGTAGCTATACAACATAACCCTGTGGTAGCTATATAACAGACCCCTGTGATAGCTATACAACAGACCCCTGTGGCAGCTATGCGTCAGACCCTTGCGGTAGCTATACAACAGACCATTGTGGTAGCTATACAACAGACCCCTGTGATAGCTATACAACAGACCCATGTGGTAGCTATGCAACAGACCCCTGTGGTAGCTATACAACAGACCGCCGTGGTAGCTATACAACAGACCCCTGTGGTAGCTATACAACAGACCTCTGTGGTAGCTATGCAGCAGACCCCTGTGGTTGCTATGAAACAGTCCCCTGTGGTAGCTATGCAACAGACCCCTGTGATAGCTATGTAACAGACCCCTGTGGTAGCTATGCAACAGACCCCTGTGGTAGCTATAAAACAGACCGCTGTGGGAGCTATGCAGCAGACCCCTGTGGTAGTTATGTAACAGTCCCCTGTGGTAGCTATGCAACAGACCCCTGTGGTAGCTATGCAACAGACCCCTGTGGTAGCTATGCAGCAGAGCCCTGTGGTAGTTATGTGACAGTCCCCTGTGGTAGCTATGCAACAGACCCCTGTGGTAGCTATGCAACAGACCGATGTGGTAGGTATGCAGCAGACCCCTGTGGTAGCTATGTAACAGTCCCCTGTGGTAGCTATGTAACAGTCCCCTGTGGTAGCTGTACTCTGAGTGAGACAAGTATTCGACAGGTGACACTCAGGGAGTGCGAGAGGGTTGGTTTGAGCACAGAATCCATGCTTGAGCATGAGAATGGTTTCGTGAATACAGGTCATGAAGTACAGATTCAAAACAAACAGGGGACCTATACAAATCCTATAAAGATGTAAATGTAGGCATTTCATTTGTCATGAGATATTATTTTTACTTTCTAGCCTGTTAGTCTCTTGTGTTGCTCCAAAAAAATTCACTTATCCAGGTTATTTATCTTTGGCTTCTGTTTTCTGTCTTTTCAGTAACATCAAATTTCAAATGAAAGTTCGGCAAAAGCGACAGACAATGCAGAATATGACACGACCCTTAAAACAATGGCTATGTGATCACCGAGGGCACCCCTACCCCTCGAAACCGGAAAAGGAAATCCTGGCACGAGATTCTCGTATGTCTTTCGTTCAAGTCTCGAACTGGTTTGCAAATGCTAGACGGAGACTGAAGAGTACTGTCCAGGGCGACAACGTCACGTGGTCAAAAAGGGTGAAGCTTTACAATAGCAGAGTGACCGGAAACGCCGAACTTTTAAGTGTCAGTTCGGACGACAGTATATTTGACTCGGACGATGGTAAGTAATACGTATATATTTAATCCGTAACTACTCCTTGCCCCGGATAGGTAGTTATAAAACCAACGTCCCTGGTCTAACGGAGTTCCGTTCTCCGTACATGTTATATGATCCGGAGAAGTCCATCACTGGGAAACGTTTTAGTAAAGCAAAGGAATTTCTAAAATAACAAAATTTCTGGTTCCGGTGTTGTGACCTATTCCGGGATCCCTATAAAGTTGCTATTTCCATATATGGCAGGGGTGGATTGGATATTAACGGCTCACAGTAAAAACAATCTTAAATAACTTAACGTTTTCCTTTTAAAAGATTCTGACGTCATTTATTTAGTAACACACCCTCTAGTTAGCTCACCTGGCACGAAGTGCCAAGTGAGCTTATGCCGTGGCGCGGCGTCCGTCGTCCGTACGTCCGTCCGTCCGTCGTCCGAAAGAAAACAACTTCTTCTCAATAACAAAAATGCCCTGGGTGGTGATATTTGGCCAGTAGCAAGCTGAGATGAAGGGCTACA